ATATAAATGTTACTCTATAGATGGGCTTTTTTACCCACATAACGCAAAATCAAAAACATTTTACTCGTTTAATTATTTTGGTAAATTATTTATCAATTCAATGCAAAAAAAAGTGTATAAGAGTGTGCGCATTCAAGTCACACGTCACCTTTATGTGTGACTTGAGCAGAATCTAGTGTGCGTCTATCACTTATCGCACTTTGGAAGATATGCATGGATGATGCGCGTCTTGCAAAGCGCGACACATGATAGGTGTGCACTGAGTTTTGTACAAGTTATGCATGAGGATGATATGCATGGTGCTGGGTTTGCTCTTTTACTAAAGCCCAAATGGGTTATTAGTATGAGAAGAGCCCAAGGAACCTAGAGCCCAATGAGCTAGGGTTTCTTGGAACCCATATAAATAGTACCTCTTAAGTCATCAGCCTCCTAGGTCTTTTTTGTGAGAAAGAGGCAAGCTCAGAATCTAATCAGTGCCCACACACTTCCCCTTCCTCCTCGAGAGATAGTTTGGAAGATCTGCCACAGTCCAGCTTCAAGGAGGTTGTTCGTGCTGCGGCGCTGAGGTGAGCTGTTCGTGAAGAGGAATCCTACAAGGGAAGATTCTACACGAGACCTGCGCACCGAGAGGTAATTGTGAAACAAGGATGATTCGGTAAGCATACTAATGTACTAGGTCCTAAACCGCTTCCGCATAAATCTAAGATTTCCTACACATGGATGATGCGCGTCTTGCAAAGCGCGACACATGATAGGTGTGCACTGAGTTTTGTACAAGTTATGCATGAGGATGATGTGCAACTTGACGCGACACCCCCCATGTGTATCTTTTTGCATTAGATTGACAAATTGTTTCGCTTTTGAATCAATGAGGGAAAATGTTTCCCTTTTAGCTTTAAATAAGTTACAAGGCTTGCATAGATATTATTCTTATCACTTGATGATATCTGCGAAAATAGTCTGTACTTTGTTTTTGTCTAAGTACCTGATTGACACATCTTTATTTCTAATTTCTCTTCTTATTAAAAGGAGTAGCTAGGCCAAATACATTTTTACAAAAGCTCTTATAAAGAAAAGTAGCTTTTGTTTAATAAAGAAAAGAGGAAAAGGACATAAGCTCCCAAGAGGAGCTTTTAGCCTTTTGATTTTAAATTTTTTTAATAAAAAAATAAAACACAACATTTTGTTTAGAAGTTTAGTACTGTCATTTCATTTTAGTCCTCATTTTAATATTTTATTCTTAATTTTAAACCTTACTACCCTAAAATCTATTCTCGACACCTCTTATGTCCCCTTCTCCGTCTCCACCAAGGATACATAAGAAGAAGTCAGATGTGTGTACTCTTCCCTTTGATGCACGAACACACTCTTTTGAAGAAAAAAAAATAATATGTGTCAGGTTGACACGTTCTGACACACTTCTAGCACGTGGTCAACGTTTTCTGATACTTTTTTTTATATACAAATTTTATTTTATTTTATCTTTTTAACTAAACATGAAAAATTAATTTATAAATCAAATATTTTCTATTATGAAATTTGACTTGAAAAATTAACAATGTATGAAAAATTATTTTTTCTTTATATTTATGTTATGAAATTTGAATATTTGATTGATTATATGACTTATTATGAGCTGTTATATGTATTAAAATAAATTATATTATATATATTAAAAATACTATTTAATATCAAAACATGTCTTAACATGTCGAAATCTAACAGTTTTTAGAATTAACGAGTTAGTGTGTCATGTCGTGTCATATCACATGTCGGTGTCGGTGCAACATAGACTCTTTCTTTGGTGACAATGACGATGGTCCTTTTGGAGATGGCAACAAGGGTTGGAATTGCATTAAGTATGAGATAAAAGTATTAGAAAAATGATAATAAAATCATTGAGAGGATAATTTGTATTCAAGAAATTGATTCAATAACACAAGAAGTTTTATTCAGTGCACACAAGAAACCAAACATGAAATAACACGAAGTTAAAGCGTACCATATAAAAACATATGATAGCAAAATTGAAAAATCTGTGTCCAGTGTTAGATACTGTGTCTTTAAGAAAATATTGTCTTCTTTATGGTGCCCAAGATTAATACTAGAGACAAAAGAAAGAGAGAAGAACGAAATACTGACATTCGATTGTGATTTTCAAGTGGTTATTATAATAGTATTTTTTATATTAGATATATATTATATTTCAAGTACTTTATTTATAATATAATATTTTTTATTTTCTCCCCCAATTACCCAAATTCATGGCTCCTCCTCTGGGCACACGCATCATTCGTGATAAGTATTTTAAACTTACCAACCAAGGTGTGAAAATGTTGATTTTATGTTTTGATGTGGATCAGAAATTAGACATAAACATTTCTTTTTTTTATCATATGCTAGCTTATCTTCACTAAGAATCATGACCAAGCATCCAAGGCCTTTCATTCCATGATTGCAAACGCAATGGACAAAGCACAATTGTTTTCATCTTCCGCGGTGGCTCTTAAAAATGTCCTAAGATATTTGTTATACATGTAATTGATGATTTGAATATTTGGTCTATATTAAAAAGTGTTGGTTAAGTGGTATATACTGTTGCGATATTCAAGTGTGATGAGTCCGCATTGGTTGGTAATGAGCTAAGTGAAGAGTATATAAGTGAAAGGATCCATGAATCCAATGCCTTAAGGTTTTGGGTTGAGACATGGTGTCGGATCCACTTGCTACGGTTGGTGTAGCCTTAGCTCATTGGTGGTGGCCCCCCGCCACGGGCTTCCCCTGGACCCGCTTGACATTGGAGTTTAAGGGAACGAATTTCCCAACATATACTTCATTCGTTTAAGTAAAATCTTAAGTTCAAATCCTTATGAAAGCAAAAAATTCTCTTTAGAAGAGCTAGTCCCACTATGATGTGGATGTTCTCGACTCGAACAAAATTACCTTTCGTGAAAAATACTTATAACTTACTCAAAAATAATAAAAATAATTATTGGGCTATAATATATGACTACATTACAATGTTTGAATAAGTTGTGGTAGCTCTTAATAGTATTTTTATTCAATCAAAACAACCAAGTAAACTAGGGTTCACAATGCTTTTTTTTCGGTAAATAAGTTCACAATAATTTTAAATAAGCACATAAAAGGAAAATAATTGAAATTATGAAATTATCACTTCAAAAATATGGATAAAAAAATAAAATAAAAATTAAAAACTCAATTAAAATGATCTCGTAAGTAAAAAAAAAATTGCTAGGATTCATGGGAAAATGATGAACCTTGATTAGAAGGCCGATTCCAGGGGTCCAATCAAATTTAAACACAATATGAGATGGTAACTTAAATGAATCATTATTAGGATTATTACCTTCGATCGACAAGCCAATGTCCATACTAAAGTTGTTTGAAACTAGTGCGCTGAGGTTCAAGCATACGATGTTGTACGGTTACCCAAATGGGCCAAATCCATCACCACTAGAACGACTTGTATTTACTCACATTTTGAAACTTGAAAATTTTACATATACATAATTTAATTAGATTGCAGTTTCAATTTGACATGTATCTTTTTTTAAGCTAGTAATTGGACTTATCACGTGACAAGTTAATAAACTTTATTTTTTATTTTACTAATAAAACGCCACGTAAACTTATGTTTTTACCTACTTGCTATTAAAAAATAAAATAAAAATGAAGTAGTGATTACATGGTCAAAACCACCAAAAGGGATAATTTAGTTTTAAGTTCCAATTTCATAAATAATTTGTAAAATTACACTTAATTGGTAAAGCGGCCAAGACTTATTATCTTTTCCGGTTAATGACGGTATAAACAAATTCTGGTCGTATCTTATAAAATTATTTAATAGCTAACTATTGAAAAGCAACAACTATCGTTAGCAATTAAAAATAATAATATAATGTCCAGTGATAACCGGTTATGGCAGGTGAAGGCCATGTCTCGGGTTGACTCATGTGGCGGGAAGTAGTGGTGTAAATGGACTAGGCTTGCCTATAGAGACTTACGGTTTAGTCTATATTAGGTCAGACTTAGCCTATTACAAATTATAAAATAGAACAGGCCTAAACTTTTTAAAAAATCTATTTAGAAAATAGGTCATAGGCCTTTTTTGTACATATCGAGCCTATAAGCTTACAGTCCTGCCTATATTATATTATTTATTTTAAATAAAATAAATAAAATTATTATTTTAATAAATTTGATTAATAAAGTAATATTATTTTAATTATTCTTTTAATTGTAAAATGTTTAATAAACTTAAACAGGCTAACTGGTCTAGGCCAAAACTTTTATTTTTTAAATATAGGTCAGACCAGACTTGAAATTTAGGGCTTACACAGGCTAGCAGGCCATGCCAGACCTAATTTTTTTTTTTTTTTTTATATATAGGCTTGGCCTATTTAAGTCAAAGCCTAACCTAACCCAGCTCATTTACACCCCTAGGGACAAGGCACCAAAGTCGGAACAATGACCATTTTGCCATTGTTGGCAAAAAAAATTATCAGACTGTCACGCCAACAGTAAATTTTGTCAAAATGCCACGTTGCATATTTTGCTACAATGTGTAGCGAAATATGTGTGCAAATAATTCGCTACACTGTGTAGCAAAATATGCCATGTCAGAACCAAAAATGCCACGTGTCAAACAGGGAGAATTTCGCTACACAGTGTAGCGAAATTCTCCTTGTTTGACACGTGACATTTTTGGTTCTATGCATTCTGATGTGACATATTTCACTACACTGTGTAGCGAATTATTTGCACACATATTTCGCTGCACAATGTAACGAAATATGCCACGTAGTATGTTGATAAAATTTACTGTTGACGTGACAGCCTGGTAATTATTTTTTTTTTTGTCAACAGTCACACTTTGGTCACTGTTCCACCAAAGTCTCCATGACTCAACCGGTTGGTCCGGTTGCATTGATCAAATTCAATGTGTATTCGGTCGTAACCTCTTTCTACTGTTTCTAAAGCCTTTGTCTGCTTTTGGTAGAGGTACTATATTAGCTTTGATTCTCTGTTATCTGTTTTGTTCTGTTTCGCGTGTAAGTTCCTCTGCTACTTCATCTCTTTCCAAAGGTAACCCCTGTTCTTCAATATCCCTTCTTTTCTTTTTTCTTTTTTTGGTGGGGGAGGTTAAAGTTCTTGGCTTGAATTTCTGTTTGGAAGCTGAGAAATTTCAAAGTTTAGTTCTTTTTTGCCTTTTTTATTATTTGTGTTTGTGGGTTATGGTTTTAAGGATTTGAAAAGTAAAGGGTGAGTTGGGAGGAGAAAATAACATGAGGTCTAAATAGATATATGCTTTTTGTAGGCTTCTCAATTTTCAATTTTATTTTTTTCATTTGAATATGTTTACTGTGGCCTCAAAAGAAGTCAAGGGAAATGATATATATGCTGCTATGATATATGACCTGAGGATTATGTATGTGCTTGTGGTTGTTGAATAGTATACCATTTGATGATTTACTCACTGTCTGATTTCTGAATTTTGATAGGTAAGTCACCAAGTCACCTTAAAATTTGTGTGTGTGTGTTTGAATTATGCTTTAACTACAAAATATTAAACATATGAATTTATTTAGGTCGGTTGCTTGGTAGATATGTAACATTTGGGGAGCATCAGTTAACCACATAGGGTGCATTTACCCATATTTTAGTTGTGATCCTTTTAAATGGCACACACTTTTCCCATTATTTATTGAGCTAATCTTGATGTTAACTTCTTGAAGTTTAATCTACCCTTCGTCCCATTTTACTTAATTTTTTTTCAATTCGCTTGTTTTTATAGCTTTTTATTGTCTTGGTTCAGGAACTTAAACAATGAAGAATGCAAAGGGCAAGGGAACATTGAAGAACATAAAAGAAACACTCAAGCCCGTTGATGACAGGTTAGTTCCTGTATCATTACACTTACGTGAATTAGTTGGGGCATTTTGATTTTTCATGTAACTTCATATCTCCTTGTCCATCAGATTGCGTTGACTTTCTGGCGATTTGTTTATATCTAAACATTCTATTAATATCTGATTTCACATACTTGATGGTGCATCCAGTGTTACAGGAATAGTGTAGTGATGGAACATATATCTATATTGTTTTCAGAAAGGTTGGAAAGCGCAAGGCTTCTTATAAGCCTGACAAGAGTAGTGCGCGAAAGCCAGAGAAGGAGAAGAAGGCGAAGAAAGATCCTAACAAGCCAAAAAGACCACCCAGTGCTTTCTTTGTGTTCCTGTTTGTATATCTGTCTTTATTCCTTTCTCTATATTTCCCTGAAGAAAAATTATCTGACTTTTCTCCTGGTCTTTGATAGTGAGGAGTTCAGAAAGACCTTTAAGGCAGATAATCCTGGTGTAAAGGCCGTATCAGCGGTAAGTTATATGTTAAATTGCTTCATCTTCAATGATGATGCATTCTTTTGGAATAAGCATCTAAATTGTTAGTTGCATTCTTGATTGAAGGTTGCGAAAGCTGGAGGAGAGAAATGGAAATCCTTGACTGCTGCTGTAAGCTATGCAATCTTTGATGCATAATGGCACATTTTTTATCTTTCAAATTTATTTATAAGTAGATATAGTTTATTATTTAAGAGGGCGAGCTTGGAGTAGCAGTAAAGCTGCTCCTTTTGAGATTGAAAGGTTGCGGTTTGAATACGGAAAACAACTTCTTTGCAAATATGCAAGGGTAAGACTGCATACAAGGACCGCCCTCATCCCTACTCTCAGTAGTCGGGGTTTAATGGGGAGTAGTTTTTTATAGTTTATCATTTGTAAACAAATGTTGTTTCAATTCGAATCCATTATATCAATATAACTGTACCCAATGAACTCAATTTTGATTCCTCTCTTTGGAATGGAAAGGAGAAAGCTCCATATGAAGCCAAGGCTGCAAAAAGGAAAGCTGAGTATGAAAAACTTATGAATGCTTATAATAAAAAGCAGGTGAGCAACCCATGCCAGTTGTTCTATTGTGTGTGCTGCTTTGATTGTCTTGCTTACATGCTTTATTTTCTATAATGTTGCCAGCAAAGCTCCGCAGATGATGAATCCGACAAGTCCAAATCTGAAGTAAACGATGAAGATGATGAAGCCAGTGGAGAGGTAGTCTTGCTTCTTTGCTATTTTTCATTTATGTTCATTAGGTTATTTAGAATGCATTCTCTGTACTATCTTGAATTTAGAGTATGATATGAAAGAGCTTGGATTATCCGAATATTATATGCAATTACTTCACATGGAATTTGAAAAAAAGAAAAGAAAAGAAGAAGAAGAAGTTCTTGTCAGGGAGTAAATGTTATAAATCTTTTGATTTTTAATATGCATATCAACAGAAGTTTGTAGGATAGGAATTTTTGGACATGGACTGTACCTTTTGATTCATATTCTACGGCCTCTACAATGGTTTTGTTTCCCAATGAATTGAAATGCTAGGTTCCTTAATTTGAATAGGCATAAAAGCTATTGCTGCTAGGCTTTTAGTTTTTCACAGAAGGGAAAGAAATGCTGTAGGTTTATTGTTTTGATGATAAAAGCACAAATCTAATTTTAATAAATTTTGGGGGATCATTGATTTCTTTTTTGTACAGGAGGACCACCATGACGATGATGACGATGATGAGGACGACGAAGAAGATGATGATGAGGACGACGAATGAGATCGGTGCTCAAAACTTTGGTTATGATGTTTGATTGCTGAGGGAGGTTATTATATATTCTGATTCTGCATACTAGGGTACTTTTTTTATGTTTGTGCTGGTAGATAAGACAGAATATGTCTTCTTTGCTTGCATGATATATTGCCAGCTACTTGAGCTTCCCTCAGTTATTGTACTTGAATTTCCCTTTGTTCATTCTAGCCTTAAATGGGTTGGTTTTAAGTAATATAAATTTCTTTTTTGTCAATGCATTGGCATAATTATGCATAACCAAATCATCTACTTTCCATCGTAGGCAAGGAACTCAGTATGAATGTTTTTTTTGCTTAGTGCAAATGTTATTATAAAGTGTTGAAATTACAAGAATTTAGATAGGGAAAGAAGAAAAGACAAAATAAAGATTGAATAATTTAAAATTAATATTGATTTGATGTGTTACCTGATATAAATTATAAAGTACTCATCTTTATTTATATTCAAATATTTACACACATCTCCCCTAGCCGCCGATTGGGTTAATCTTTATGTGATAAGAGTTTGGATAAGGGAGTGGTAATTTTTATTTCTGAATTGAAAGAACTAAAAAATTATAATAATAAAAAAATAAGGGATGATTGAAATGTTACAAGATATTCTTTTGTTTTAAAAAAAGTCTCAAATTAGATGAATATACTGAAAATGAAAAACATCTCATCTTAATACTCTGTTCCTCCTTACTCCTCCGTCCATTCACTTATTATACTACTTTATGTCCAATTAACCTTCATTTAAACTAATGGATGCTATAGATGTAATAGTTGATGAATTTAATAAAATTATTTTGCAATTGGGTAACGCTGAAAATGACAGTACTTAGCACGAAAGGAAGAAACAAATTATTTATTAAACTACACATGTTGTCATTAAATATAACAAAGTGAAATTTCCACATTTTTTTTCTAATAAAGTGGTAATATGTTGATATGAGAAAATTCAAGTTTTTCTTAGATGTTTTACAAGTAGGTTGGTAATGTTTAAGCAGCTCCAAAAAAATTTCACCCTTAAGTGAACCTATCCAGTTCTTCATATGGAAAATTTTAACGGCCATAAAACTTCATACTGTCCTTTGATATTACTTACAGGATTTCCTTTAGAAGGACCATGTTCTAGTCATCATGAAAATCGTCAATATTTTTATCCCAAATTAGTTAAGATCGGTGCTAATGAATCCAAATAAAAAATAAAAAAAAAATAAGAGAAAAAGAAAGAAAGTAGTTTCGCCTATGTACGTACGTATGCATGACATATCCCAAGCCAAAGTAAAAGAAGAGGATTGACGTCAGATATAGCAAACCGACCATATAAAAAAGCATAGTATTGCATAAAAATTAAATAATTATTTTCTAGTCAAAGTTACACAGCAAAAAGGGGAGAAAAAAATGGAAACTAAATGATATTCAAATTTCATATAGCAGTCTGGACTCTGGGGAGACAGATAATGACACAGACGTAGATACTTATGATTGACCACCAATTGAACAAAACAGAGAATATGCTAAATGAATATTTTGTGACTTTTTTCAAGGCACAAGCAATATGGACCAGATCAGATAACTGGCACAATAAGAATTACCAAAGTGTAAAATACTATCTAAAAAAAAGCATAAAAAGAATAATACTATTTAGCTATTTTCTAGAATGGAACAATTATCAGATATCGTTTTCAAAAGAAATTAAATAAAGAAAAAAAAAAAATCATCCATTAAGAAAGTCTTGGTGATTATCTGGTCCTATTGAAATATAGGAAGGTCATTTGGCGCTTGTAGGTTATAACTTGTATTGACTGGTGCTGGAACAATGCTACTTGAGGCCTCTTCTCCCATCTCATTTCCCATCTTTAAGAAATAACTATGCCTGCAAAATTAGACCATTACAACTCCATAAAACCAAAAAACACTCCCCATTAAATCTCAAAATTAGACCATTAGAACTCCATATCATATAAAAATTGTAAAATTCAATAGTCTGAAACAATTTCTATCTACCATCGAGTATCAGCTGTCAATTCAGGATGGAAAGCAGTCGCTAGTATGTTCCCTTGTCTCACAGCAACTATAACCTTACTTTCTTCCTGAGCATTTTCCTGTCATAGTCATAACTAATAAGAAACATGGTAATTAATGAGGAAAATATCCAAGACATTATTGTAAAAGTTGATTCATTTGCAGTGGCAATTGGCAAGCAGTGTTTGTATTATAATAACTAGTAGGTGAATTAGGAGTTGTTGGGTTATGGTTGGAGACATTATTCATGGGATAGCAGAGATGTTCAATAAAATCATCTATTAGCTCATTTGTTTTTCAATTGCTAAGAAGTTTTGAAACTATATGGAATAGTACATCATAACATTGCTTTCTTAATCACCTTCAACAAATGTAGATGCCTCTTAGTCTTAACCAAGTTAAACTAAATGATACGTATGGCCGTCGTCTTGATTAATCATGGTTTATCTTACTAAAATATTATCTTACTAAAATAGCACCTCCAGTAAAATTAAGGTGCATCTCCAAATGTATTCCTATAAGATTAAGAAATAAAACTATACCATTTGTACCACATTGGGAAAGACAGAGCATGCTAATTATTCATTAAAGGAAATAAACCTATCATCTGAGAAGCATTTCCACAGAAAACATCAAAGTGATGAAGGAAACATAACAAGAGAAAATACTTCCAGCAACACGCTAAGTATAACACATAGGCTTAAGTGGGGCACCGACCTAGTCCTCACTACAACTGCCCATGACAGTTTTCTTTTCCAGTAATTCTTACTGCACTTCAACCTCTAAATTCAAAATTATTATCGCCTTGTGCTTATCCTAGTAACATGTGATTCAGCTACCAGTTATGATGGTTATCATTTTTTTATTAGTAAGAAACATAGATTAGCCTTAACTAACAATGCCAAAAGGCTATGGCCATCCAATGTTAATATACACAACAGAACCTCATAATACAGTATGCCAGTAGTTCATTGTTGAGAGTAATTTTAGAGTTGGCAGAGTTGCAGAGAGAAAAGACAAAGAAAGGGGAGAGAGGAGAGAATTAATTATTTGAAAGAAGTAATTTCTTCTGTATTTCATATAGTCATTGTGGCCTTTATAACAAGTATTCAAAATATAAAACATAAAGACTAAAAGTAAGAATGCTAACTGATACTAATCGGGGCTAATTGTTACCAATCTAATGTTTTTATTAAGGGAAATACTACTCTCATTTTACATGAGGTAGTTATCTCATTTTCTCTCACATCGAAAATCGCACCCCTTCTTTTTTCTTTTTCTTTTTTACTTTTTAATGGTAGACCCCACTTAAACTCTCTCTATAGCATGAGATAATACTCTCATGTAACATAAGATTAATATTCCCCTTTTATTAATGGAAGATTGGAAACTAGAAAATGAAAACATAGCAATGGAATAGAAAAATAAGATGCATAGAATGAGTAATATGTGAAGCCTGCATTTCAAAAGAAGGAAAACAAAGCAACAAAATAATCAAATTGGGGTCAATTCAATGGTGTTCCTTCAGTTTCTTTTGATTTAACAACTTATACTTGTTTGGCTTTTCAGTTTCTTTTATGAGAATTGATGAAAAAAAAAAGAGAACAAATCATTGAATCGTGTGATTCGTGATGGTAATACGAAATCACATCGGTTATACATGTATCATACGATTCAAAGCCTTCTCCAATTCATCACATGATATGAATCGCTAGCTTAGCAAATCGCATTGGATTGTAAGATTCAAATCAGGAATCATGCATATTCTATAACTACGATGGAAGCTAGTAAATGCTAATTGATATCTCGCGAAGACCTAGGTGCGTAACATTCCTTCTCCCAATGAGATGTGACTTGTCCTCAATCAAGACGTGGCTTGTGAATGGTTCAGGTGGATCTAGTTTGACAGGCTCGAGTGGTAGCGAGTCATCTACCATGTAGCAAATACCCTCCAAATATAAGAAGGGCAAGATTTTGCATTGATGCTTGCAAACGAAATTCTCGTCACAGTTGAAGCATAGTCCTTTGTCGTGTTGCATTGCGCATGCATCTCTTCCTCTATCAAGCGTTTGATAGGAAGTCTTGTGACAAGGGTTCAGGAGGCAACAGAGGCTCCCGAGGGCAGCGATTTAAATCGTTAGTTGTTGCGATGCGACTTGCTAAGTTGAGACTCATACATGTATGCTAACACGAATGCATCACGCAAGTCCACAGACTAATGAGTTTGAACCACCAGGTGCACTAAAAGTTCCAATCCAAAAATAAACAAGCTACATAAATGCTCGAGAAAGACCGGACCTGGCTGGTAACATTCTCGAAGGCGCCTTGCTATTCAAGGATGGAGTCAATCTGAGACTGCTTGATGAGAAGGGCGGTCGAATCCTCATACTTAGAGGGACCAAGGCGGCAACATATGGAAAATGTATCCCGATTGGGTAGAAGGCTATTCGCCGCTAGACTTTGGTACCAAGTGGCCGCAAGTGCATTGAGATGCATTGTGATTAGCAACAATTGATTATGTTGGTGTGTTTTATAATTTTGAAAAAAACGATGCATGTTGAAAAGCCATACAATTGGGTCAACCGAGGAAATATCATAGGAATGTGAGGTGGAGAGTATATCCATGCATTGGCACATTTTCCGAACATGTGGACTTATGTATAATGCTGCCAAGAATGCTTGACATTGGATCGGATGGAAATGATGGTTGTGTTGGTTGTTCCTGCCAGAAGGTGGTAGAGGCATTGATCACGTTTGTCCATTAATGCCCTGAGACTTTCTCCTATAAGTTGGTTGGCTTCAAAGTCTAGGCAATCTTGGCATAATTGTTCGACGACAACGGTTGTTGCCCTGGCTAGCTGTTGCATTGCTTGTAATTGAGCCTTGTACTCTTGAGAATAGGTTGCTGGCATGGTGGAGGCAAGAGTTGATGAGAGAACCAGTTGTTAAAAGTAATTTCAGAGAGAAAAAGACAGAGAGGAAGGGGAAAAGGAGAGAAATAATAATTGGAAGGAAGTAATTTCTTTCTTTTTTGTTCTCTAGAGCCATTGTGACCTTTATAGCAAGGATTTTATGTAGTAAAAGGTAAAGCTAATAAATTCTAATACATACTAAAAAGGTAAAGCCAATAAATGCTAGTGCTAATTAAGAACTAATTGATACCAATCGAATCTTTTTATTAATGGAAGCTTGTAAATGATAATTGATATCATTGAAGACCTTGGTGTGTAACATTTATTATGTGAACGAAGACAACATATTGGTTGGGAACTAAATATCCTATTAAATGTAATGCAATTAAGGGCTGCCTTCTCAAAAGTAGGAAACTGTTCCAAGTTCCAAGGATAATATGTTTATAAACAAGAAGGAAATTTCCAAACTAATAACGTTTCAAAGAGTTGAGATTCTTTGGGTAATAGGTCAGCAAACTAACAAAGATCGAAATTTCATATCCTTATAACCATTCATTCATATAGACAATTTCCTAATGTTTCTCAACTCCTTTCTTCTTTAAGTTTCTGCTTCAAAAACTTAGATTTTCTCGGATGAGACTCTAGAATCCCAAACTATGCCAATGAACCAAAAGGAACTTGGAAGCAATACAGCACAGGACTTGTATAAGTGCCAGAGACACGCCCCCCCTGCTCTGATATCAATCCTCAAAATATCAGTTTCATAAACAGAATTGAATTATACAAGTGAAGTACCCCATTTCTAATTCGAATTTTGTACTGTCAATCAGCCAGTAAATAACATCCTCAAAATAAGTTTCAACATGTACAACTATCTATAATGTTCATCTGATCCTGTCCATTCTGGCGTGTTTTCATTAACTATTCATAGGACATTAACCTTTTAAATTCTAATAGCTCTGGAAGTAATCAGCACTGAACCTAAAACTAGAATCAGCAAATGATCCATGATTAACTGAAATTTAAGTCAACAACATATTTACTATTTAGTGATAAATAACATAAAACTTGAGATAAGTTAGAAAATTACAAACATTGCACCCTTTTGATCTTACATTCATGACAAGGCAAGCTGATAACTTTCTATAGACAGATTTGTCAATAGCTAACCTTTTTGTCTTCAATAGAGGAATCAGAACTCAACAATCTGTCAGAAGGTACAGGATAACCAGCCAACACTTGAACTTCCGGTCCTACTTCAAGAATTGCTGGAGCACGAATAAAAATTCCACGGAATGTTTCTGGACCACCTTCCTTGGATGCGAGCTCTGGCACTGAAAGATCTGCCTCAAAGCTTTGAATCTAAATAAACATATCTTTCAGTTAAATGTGACCAAAATCCACAAAGTGCAGCAAATTTTTTTTTTGTCAAGCCATGCTTATTATCCTCTTCCCTGATGTCATTCCATGCACTAATATTACTATATTTACATCTATAGATGAACTCTACGAATCTTATCATCTATAATGGCAAGAATGCTAAATGATTTAGAACGAGAAAAGCAAACTCTGTAAAAAACCTGAAACCAATGAAAATATTTTAGATTTCGATGCTTATAGATAATAAGAAACCTGAGTCAAGAAGGGATCAGGTAGAACAGGGGAGGAAAAGAGTACTGAAAAACTTCATAAGAACTTGAAAGCTCAGTGACTGTAGAGCTCAAATAACTATCAGTTGGTACCATTATGAAAAGCTCACATGTTAAATGTTAGGCCATTCAGCATGACCACACACCTTTATTCTCGCCTAAACAAAATGCTAAGCAGAATTTTACACGTCCAACATTCCCCAGATGTGAATAACATAGGCTTCTATTAATATTTGTTTCATAGATTATAGCATAAAATGCATAATGCATGTATTACCTGGCTGCCAAAGAAATTTCTATGCACAGTGCAATCAAGTCCACCAATCAGTTGTTGTCCACCAGTCTTCTGTCCTGAAATGATGTTTGTCATTTAAATGTTTAAACTATTATCAGATGTTTTAGGGAGAAGTAAATTGAGAATAAGATAGTTGATATTGTCTGAAATTCAACACAAGGGCATAAAGGAGAAGAGAAAAACAACCAACCTATAGCTTTATTTGCCAAGAATATAAGCCCTGCACAGGTTCCCCATACAGGCTTTCCCATTTCTACAAACTCTCGCAAGGAAGGAAACTGATAAATTGAAACATTCAACATAAATCATCATGCACGGTCCCCATCAATGCCAAAAGCATTACATGATTCCATGAGTATAAAACTATAACGTTTGAGTGTAAAAGTTCCACAGGCAAAAGCATTATTACAAAAATCCCAGCAAATAATGTCATTCAAAACCAAAAAAATAGACACAAAAAAAAACCAGATAACACATTCCCTTTCCATTTTTCTCCTCTCTCTATCTCTCGAGTACATTTTATGTGCAACGAGAGAAGGTACTCCATTACCAAAAAGAAAAAAAAGGGAATATGGGAGGAAATAACCATAAACAGGGCTAGTATAAATGTGTTACTTTTTTTTATATTCGGTAAAGGATGTACCGAGTCCTCGATCCTCTCCTAGCCCTGAAAATATTTTCCTTTCTCTCTCTCTCGCTCGTATCAATTATAGACAAATGGACAACCTGGTTCTATAAAGCTCCCGCTATATGAAGGGTCCAAGGGTCTATAGTAGATAACCTTACCTTGCATTAGCTCTAGGTAACATGGCAACAACACTAACAATTGTGACAAGTTTCCCTATATATCAACTATAGAAAACAAAACTAAAAACAAGAAAAAACTTTATACGTTAGAAACACAACAATCTAAAGTATACAATCAAATTATAATAAACCTTTTTTTTATTTTCCCTAAAAAAAGGGTAAATCTTCTTCAGTTAGCCAAATCAACTGATAACAAGCATGAAAATGCACTTCAAAAGAGTCATAAAAAAAAAGTTAGTCACTTTATGCAACCACGTTACAATAGAGACATATAAAGTCAATAGGGGTATCAATCAAATAGCACAAAAAAAGTTCCCAGACATAAAAAACTAAAAAATAAATAATAAACAGAACATACAAAGCAAGAGGCATAAGAAAAAAAGGGCTATAGAGAAAAGACCAGGTTGTGGAACTCAGCGAGCTTAGCCATGGTGGTGCTTTCTCCACCAGGGATGATAAGGGAAGCCACGGTTTGAAGCTGTTCTGGCTTCCGAATCTCCACCCCTTTCACCCCTAACCTCCTAAGAGCTGTCACAAACAATCCAAACATCACAAAAGTTTGAGACTTTGGAAAAAGGGAATGAAGGGTCAGAAAAACAAATAGAAAGGAAGAAAAAAAAATGAACATGCCGGCTATGTGTTCGTTGAAAGATCCTTGTAACGCGAGGACGCCAACGAGGGCCATGCTGTGAAAGACTGAAAAAACAGAGTTAGCAGCGTCTTTTGTTGTTGCTGCTGCTGCTGCTGCTGCTGCAAGTTTATATATAACTCGTAAAAATTCGGCCCAAGCTTGGGTTTAGCCTCAGAAATTAAGGATAATGAGGTTTTTAATCTGAGTGTGACACTTCGGGTTAACTGAGATATCATATAATATTTCAATATTTATTTTTTAATAAATTACAAAAAAAATTGTTTAACATAAAAAAGAAAGAGAGCATATATCAGTTAGTGTTATCGTTACTTGACTTGAGATTTTACAAGTTTAAATTATGTATTTGAATCATGTAATCTGTTTGTTACAAATTTAAGATAAAGTTGTGATCCTCTTATGAACCCTAGGCCTAGCGGGAGTTTTATAACTTAAAATTTGTCCATTTTTTTACTTGTAAAAGTTTTTTTTTAAACTTAATCAAAACCTTAAGAATAATATGAATATTTTTATATTATTAACTTATTTAAAGATATATATTCTGTGGCCTGTGGCTGTTGGAACAGCCGTTGTTTGTGTGAAGTCTGTACCCGCCAAATTACCTAGGCCATGGGCCATGCCCACCATTTTTCTTTCTTTGTGGAAAATGATAATTAAAAAAAAAAAAGTTATTTTACCTATCATTTTTTGTGTCTACCTTTGCTTACAACTATAAAATATCATTAGATCAGAGTCTTAACTAACATTTATCTTTCTTCCTCTTCTTGAGATTCTGATCCAACAGTGTTTTAAAGTGGTAGACAAAGGTAAGCAGAAAAAAATAGTAGGTAGAATAACTTATCCAAAAAAAATTGAATGAAAGGTAAAAAGAAGTAATAACAACCAAATTGACACATTATTTTAATTTTTAAATAAATTTTTTTTGTTAAAATACCACATTTTAGGATCCATTATTAATTTTAGCAAATCTAATTTATAAGGTGTCGTTGGACAAAGATCCATTATCAGAAATAAAGAGATTCGGACTTGTTGTTTTTGACAGCAAGTCCTTATCCAAATGACACAGTAACTCAACTGCATAAAAAAAACTATCTATTTGTCATGTATTATGAGGACAAGACATATTGTTAGAAACAACGGTCCATGACCCGTTATTTCTCACAACAAATCTTTATCCAACGATACGTGATAAACTGAATCAACGTGATATTTTGACATAATATTTTTGAAATATAACATTCGAATAATTTATTTCGAAAGATGTGACAATTCTTTTGTCCTCAAGAATGGCCATGAGACCACTTTTGTTTGATTCCAACTTCTGGTTCTGTTTTTGTTTAAGATTTTTGTTCGCGTAATCCATCAATTTCTTAAAAATAGAATAAAAATCTTGTTGTAACAATTTTACTTTTTTTTTTTTTTATAGATATTCACATTACTGATTGAATTTCCAAAACCAACACGAAGTTCCTTAAGTCAGTTAATTCGTGAAATAACCACTTATAAGCAAGTGTTTAAAAACCCGGCCCGGCCATCGACCCGGCCGAGGTCAGGGGTCATAGAGTCAGGGGTTCAACCGAGGGGTCACGGGGTCACTATGCTGATCCGGTTTTATATATTAAAAGTATATAAATATATATATATCATATATAAAAATATTAAAAAACAAACCACTAATTATCAAAGATTCAAAATATACTTAACATAATTCTCTAATTACAACCACAAGTCAATATTACACAACTTAATTAAAGTATCAAGATACCAAAGTACAAAACTCATATTCTAATGGGATCAATACGCTGACCCGGTTCTGCCTCTTTTGATAAGGTCCCTGACAAAGGAAAATTTAAAGGAAGTAAGAATGAGTTTTTGTTTTCCATCGACGACCGTAAGGATTTCATTTGAATAGATAGAATTCTTACCTTTTCTAGAAGATTCACGTCTACGAGGTGAAGATTGAAGACATATAGGTCACTGGGAGAGAAGAGAACGATTAGATTTAGGTTTGAAGCATTTTTATTTTTATTTTTTTAATAAAACGAAGTTGTTTCATGGAATTTTTCTTTTAAAAAAAATAAACATGCAGTGACCCCCTTTGACTCCTCTGACCCGGGAGTCACTGAAACCCGGCCGAGTTTTGGGAGTCGGAGGGGTCGATGTGCATATAGGGTCCAACTTGTGACCCCAACCCTCAGAGGGTAGGGGTCAGGGTTGACCCGGGGGATGGGGTGGGGTGGGGTTTTAAAACACTGCTTATAAGTATGATTATTGATATAGTTAACGATGTCATTTTTGAAAAAGTTAATTTTTTTTTGTTTATGTTAGTAATTTACATTACTAGTTGGGAAAAATATTGCTACTTTTGTTGCAAAAAAAATTTTCTGTACATTTATATGAAAGTAAGTAGATCCCATAATAAAAAAAAATAAGAAACTATTAAAGAGACTTATTTATTTTTATCAGAGTGTGGTAGACATTTTTTTTTCTGCATAATAAACCCTTCTTTGTTATGTGTGGGCTAATCTAGTATTGTTAGATGGGACAGGATCCGTTTACAAATTTATTTGAATTTTTTTACAATTTACATTGTATTTTCTCGGGAGAATATAGTGTAATTTGTAAAAGTTTGTATTCTCCCAGAAGAATATAGTGTAGTTTGTAAATAAAAAAGTTTGTAAATATAACGTGCCCCTTGTTAGATTAAGAGAATGTTTTCAACTTTGGAATTTAAAAGATTTTATTTTCCAAGCTAACATTTTCAAATGAATGTGTCAATAGTGGAATTTTTTAAGGATTTTATAAAAATTATGTTGTAGGAAAAGTGATTGTGTTATGTTATAGAGATTCATTTTTCGTGCCGTAGTTTTTTTTTTTTTTTTTCAAAAAATGCAGGCCCCACGAAATGTTGTGTGTAGGAAACTTTTTTTTTGTCATATTGCATGATGAATGCAAATCCCATTTTTTAATATGATCCTTTTATTAAAAAATTGACACATCAATCATCTTTTTTCCTCTCCTCAACCTTTTCTCTCACCTCCGCCCCACCAAAATGTTTTTGCTCCGAGAGCACACAAGTATCGCTCGTCAATAGCTACGTCAACAACTTAACATAATATATTAACACTTTTTGAAAAAAATAGACTCAACTTACATAAAGGACTAATTTTTTTCATATTAATATCTCCGGTCATTGCTTCACATTTTAAGAATTTGAAGATTAACGTGAAATAAGTAAAAGTTTTTATTGACCTAAATTAATATTTTAAGAATATGGTGTCGAGTTTTTAAAATTTGAAGAACAAAGTAAAATATATATACAGGTGTAACATGGCCATATATATTATCCTAAGAAAATGATGGTTAAGAGCTTTTAACCAGAAAAATATTCCGTCAACAAAAATCACAAAATAACAAAGATGATCTCCTACGCGTAACAGCATTATCTGGAAGTAAAATCAAAGATATCAGCATTTGAACCTTAAGGAGCAAGAACCTTACCTCCCGTAGACCAAAGAACAACTGTAGTAATCACGATTCATCCTTCAATGAATGAAGGGAATATAATTAAAAATATAGAAAGAAGAGATTGGAGATAGAGAGATTAAAGAGAGAAAATTAGAAGAAGAGAGAGACATTAGAAAGGAGACTTGAATAATTATTTATTTATTTTTATGTATGCTCTGTGAGCTAATAATTCATAGAATTATAATTTCAATAAAGATAAGGAAATCTTAATTTAAAATTAAAATTAATAAGATAACTACTAATAAGATAATTTAAACAATTAAGATAAAGATAAACTAATCAAATAACAAATAACTAGGATAAAGAGATAATGATGAATCGTGATTGTTACAACACCTCTCGCAAAACCTCACAATTTTTACTTAGGAGGTGTTTGGTAGAAAAGAATTTATTTTTTATCGGGAAGAAAAGATTTCTTGGAATATGGTGGAAATTTTTTTTTCTCGGGTAAGTTACTATAACGTGTTTGGTAGGCCAAATTTTTTCTGAAAATATTAGGTTAATTTTACCGATGCTATGTTTGGTTGGTAGTAAAATATTAATGGAAATCTAAATCGAAATTACAAAATCACCCATCATTCCCTACTATCATGAATCAAACATACTCGATTTAGTTATCAGGTTCTCTTTACCGTTTCGTCTTTTTCTTTTTTCTTTTCTGGGATCTTACTGGCACATTGCTTCTTCACTCTATAGCTCTGTAACCCTATTTGCTCAAATTTTCTTTTTTTTTTCTTTTTTTTTCTTTAAAATTTCCTTTCTTGCTCCAAATCTAAATAACATACAGCAAAACCACCCCATTTTCTATCACTTTGGTACCTAAGGAGGCTAAACTGAAGCTTCAGTAAGAGAGTGAAGCTTGTGCATGTGGGCTAGAAGCCGAAAATAGGGGAAAACCATGAAAAGCAAGCTTGCAATGTGAACTGATCTTCGGTTGGGACCGAGGCAAAACCAATGTAGGTGTAGTACTCCTTTGCATTTCCATAAATCACCTCACTGAAAGCCTTTCTGTCAGTTCTCTTCTTCATAATATTGAGTGGAGCCATTTCAATCATAGGTGATGAAACGATGGGAAAAAAGGGGGGGGGGGGGAATTTTCGTCTGAACACAGAGATTATGGTGATGAAATTTGGGAAAATTTTGATGAACACGAAGGTGATGAACAGAGTGGAGCCATTTCAACTCAAGGCATTTTCTTCTCAATTTGTTGTTACTCCTTTCCTACACGGTGTAAAAAAAATACCATGGTAGAGATGGTAATTTTTTTGGAATCTGAAGCGTAAAACAAAAGTTGGCAAAAAAAAAATTCGGCATATTTTCACTTTTCCTCCTACAAACGTGGGAATTTTTTTTTCCCACCCCAATTTCCCAAGAACCCAAATGAAATCCTTCTATCAAAGAACACCTCAAGTTATTGCTGGGATAACAATGTTCTAAATCTGGGAATTGTGAAGCGCATAACATGCTTTGATTGAGGAACTAACATTAAGAGGGAGACACCTAACCGAATTTTTCAGAGTCGGGGGAGTTATCTCAATCCTTGTAATTT